GCTTCAGTTAAATCCTATCCATCAAGACCTTGAACTATCTCTCTCCATCACGTCTGTCCTAGGCATTGAAAAGCAACTTCCTGGTGCCTGCAAATCGATTGCTAGGGTGGGCAAGTCATACTGGAGTCAAAATTTAGAGTAGATTATTTTTTAGTGAATGAGCCACATGCGAATATCATTCTTTCTGGAACACAACAGCGCTGGATTCCTGATATGTTTTCAAGCAGACTGCTTGCTCTCAGGAGTGTCTCCCTGCTTGTGTGCTCAGAGCATCTCTTTCCAAACGTAGTTTAAATGTCACCGAATGTGTGAAGCCCATTGCAATGCCCTAGGCAGGTTTAGCTCTTCTTATCTTTCTTCCAGTGTAACTTGAAAATTTTTCTTTTGGTTCTTTTCTTCTGTTCTGTTTAACCATCATCATTTTTTCCCCAGTCTGCAGCTTCTGTAGGCTGCCATTCTTTGAAGCTTCATGTGAACACTAGTATATTTCATGTAGACACTAATCTTCATGTATAGCCTCACCCTGCTGTATCAGTGGATGCTGCATGCAATGTAAGCGAATAAATATTCTCCTAGTTTTTGATATTGGGAATGTATCTGTGTTCTTTTTTTTCCAACTGAATGAATTGAAATTGGTTTTAACTTTCAAAACCATACTTTAACAAGATAAAAAGTGTCCCTCTTTTGCTCTTTTAGACTGACCTCTTGAGCACAAAAGTAACTTAGTAGGATTAGTGCTATGAAAGTAATGAGATTTGTTTGATTTCAAAAATTTTGGATTAATCTGAGTCACATGCAATATTTTAACATTTAAGTTCATTGCTGAATCTATAGGGCAAAGGAAATCATAACCTCTGCTCCAATTTCAAGATGATAAATTGAAGCTTATTCCAACAACCCAGAGGACAAAACCATGTCTTGTTTTTATATCAGACAGCATATTTCATTTAATGTTAATAAATCTGACTGATGTTTTAAGAGACAAAATTGATGTCTTTATAATTTTAGTAGTGTATACTAAAATGCAGATACCTTCAATAACTGTTTTCTGAATTATGTAATGTGCGGCAGATATTTAATGTGACACTTCTCCTAGAACAGAAGTACATAATTAATTTTTTTTAAAAAGAGTGTGTGTGTATGTGTGTGTGTGTGTTAGCTATTTGACAAGCAAACAGGTGTATGCAGAGCCAATAAAGGGTGTTGGATACTGTGGAGCTAATGTTATGGGTGGTTGTGAGTCTCCTAACGTGGAAACTGGGAACCAAACCTCAGGTTCACTGGAAGAATAATAGGAACTCTTAATATCTGAGTCATGTCTTCAGCCCATTAAGTGCCTAACACTGTGCTGGAATGTTAAGAAAAGATAAAAGTACCGAAGGCAATCCATGTATTCTATAGAGAAAAATATATATAAGAACCTTGCTTATCAATCTAAGAATTCACAATGAACATGGCTACAGAGAGCAGTCAGGGAATTCAAAATGGGAGAGTATTATAAGCAAACTTGCTTCAAATCTCAGAGCTCCTTACTCAATCACTGGGAGGGAGGTTCTAGAAAGAGACAACATCTTCACAATTGTAGGTGTCTGGGACTTGGAAGGGTAAGGGACAGGATAGTGAACTGGGAAGACTGTTTGTTGCATTTGAAGCAATTAGATCATTAATGTTAGTCTAGTTACGGTGCTTGACTTTGTGAATACTTTCACAGTACTTCTTACTATTAGTCTAGTCTAAACTACTTTGGGAGTTATGAAGACTCCCAATGTAATGACTCCAGATATAGCTTCAACAGACCAAAAAGCAAAAAGTGCAAAGGACCGGTGCTATTCGTTTGCTTGCTTCCTTGCTTGCTGTTTCTCACTTAGGCTATAGTAAACATGCAGCACAGACAGCTGATGTCCTCAGGTTTTCTTTTTCTAACTTGGAATTAAGAGTATTGATTTGGATGAGTCTAACACTCATTCAGCTATGCTTTCTCTGTAAGTCACCCAGATATCCAAAATGTTGACCTTTGCCCTGAGCAGCTACAGTACTGAGAGTCTATCTAATGGTTAGCAGGAACATATGCTCAAAAAAAAAAAAGTTTGCGAGAAAATCATGGCTAGGTGGTGCATTTGTGCTGAGAGTGCAAAAACAACCACCTTTTCCAAGAATGTGTTAAAATACAGAAGAAAATAGTTGAAAATTAACCCTTATAAATGTCGTGATTTGCCTACTGTATAATTTAAATTGTTTAAATAAAGGTGCTTATTTGCATAATGAAGCATTTGAAAGATATATCTTAAAAATAACAACACTGGGCATTTACTTGAAATTTAAACAAAACATGGCAAGTACAAATTAGTCTAGAAAGAATGTCATGTAACTGTGTAATTAGATGTATTAATATACGTGGACTATCATTTATGAGGCTAAAATTAGCATAGATATTTATTTAAAGAAAAATATCTATATTTTCCCTTTAAATTGTTTCTATTTTTGTTTTTTCAGCATCTATTGACTTTAACTTTTATAATACGTGTATAATTATACAAGGCTGATACCTTAAAAAGTACCTGCCAGGATTAGAGTTGTCGAAATTAAATTCTAAATTTGGTCACTGTCTGAAATAACTTGGAAAAACATTGCATGAGACACCAGAGCATCCAGAGCATCAGCAGTGTCCAGTGTCACAAGACCCCAGAAATTACTCATTGTCTAGACAGAATGCTGTATGTAGTGTAAGATTTGACCACTTGTCTAGATTTCCCCTTCTGTGTTAGCATGTCTATTGGTAGTATTACTGTCTCAGGTCATGCTTGGTTACTTGGTTAAAAATTTTCTTTGATATGTGTGGGTGTTTTGCACATGTGTATGTATGTGCACAATTTGAGTGTCTAGTGCCTGAAGAAACCGAAAGATGTCTTAGAAACCTTGGAACTGGAAAGACAGATGATTGTGAACTATCATGTTAGAACCTGGAACTGAACCTATGTACTCTAAAAGGGCAACCAGTGAGTGCTCCCATATCTTAAGCCACATCTCTAATCCCATTGTTAGATTTCTTTAAAAAGTCAAAGAATATTTATCTCATGGAACATTTTCACTTAGTGTAAATATATATATATATATATATATATATATATATATATATATATATAAGACCTAGTGAAGTATTTCTATGATGTAGTCTGAGTAGTAGTACCATTATAATCACATCAATGGGGGGGTTAAAATGTAAAGTCCTAGAGTTATTTTGCATATGTCAGGTCATTCTGTGCACTAAGAAAAAGTATTCAAAGCAAGCACTAGGGGCAAGAATTATTCAGCTGGACTATTGCAAGAAACCTTCTAGAAATGGCTTTTATTCCCAGCCAGCTTTGTAGCTTCTCATGATGAATAGTAGAGAGCAATTTGATTTTTTTCTTACTTATATACTTATTTTTTTTCTTTAATTAATTTTTATTGAGCTCTAGATTTTTCTCTGCTCGCCTCTCTGTCTCTTCCCTCCTGTCTTCAACCCTCCCTGCAGGTCTCCATACTCTCTATTTACTCAGGAGATTTATCTTTTTCAACTTCCTATGTAGATTATATCTATGTAAATTCTCTTAGTGTCCTTGAACGCCAGGCTTATATGCAAAAAATACAAACATTTGTTGATTTTTTTGTTTGTTGCTTATATTATGGTTCTCATTCTTATTTTTTCCATCTAGTGGACTTATCTATTTTCATTTCCACTAAAATTCAGAAAGATGAAAAGTACATCCTTTTAGTTATTCATCTCCATGAGTGGCCTGAGAATCTAAGTGGTATATGTCAAAACATTACATATTAGGAATGATTTTCCCTTTAAAACATGATTTCCCAGAAGAGAACTTTCCATAAATTGAGTACAGTCTTTTTCCTCTTCTTAGAACCACCAACATCATTCTCAAGAAATATAGGACTAGTGATCTTTTTATGCCATTTTTTAAAAAAAATCAAACATTCTAGCATTCTTTTTTTTTTTTTTTTTGGAAATTGATAGCTTCTATTAAGGTCACTGCTGTTTAGAATGGATATTCTTGTCAGAATAGCCTGTGATTGCTGCCCTCTATATGTGCAGGTGATCTTCCCATTTTCCTTCCGTTAAGATAATTTTATCTTTTGCCTCCAAATGTATTACACGCAAAAAATGGTGTATCAAAAAAATGAAGATGACCTCTGTTCCAAAGTTCCGAGCTGTCAGTACGTATTTGATCTCAGACAGCATCTATGATTAGCTAAGGATATCTCATCCTTTGAGGAATTTCTGCTTGTGACAGGTAATGCAACAAGAGATAGTCAAGTCTCTTAAGGTCCTTGTGCACTATTGCATGAGAAAGTAGGGATTTAGACAGTTCTGTGAGTGTTAAATTATTCTTTAATCAAAATTTTGACTAAGTCATCAATAATTTGCTGTCATTTACAGTGTCTTCACCCAGAAACCACATTTTGTTTGTTCTAATTCAGGGATCTGTAGATGCTGTGAACTGAGTGGATATGCTGCCTATAAGCATGAATGTCCCTTAGGTCATTTTGTGCACCACAGGGAATTAAAATGAGTTGAATAATGTCTAAGTTTTTAATTTGAATCTCTTGTTCCCTTATATTTGTCATCTTCCTTTTGTGTTATATATTTCAGGTAAATCATTACTTACATTTTTCAAGTTTTGTTTCAGAAAGGAAGAGGCCTTCCTGCATTGTAACAATCTACTTAATCATGTGGCCTGTAGTGACATGGTTCCAGGATGCATCAATTTTCTCCTACTGTTGTGTTGCTCTTTGTAATTTTTACAATGTCGTAATGAGTATTAGATAAATTAGAAATATTTTACCAAGAAAATCTCAAATCCCTTGAGAATGTCTGAAGTGTTAGGCTAATGGTTCTTGCTATCATAGGATATAATAAGAATTGCTCTTACAATTGGGATAATTCATGTGAAGATGATTTACCTAAGTTTTCATGTATCATGTGTCTTTTCTTCCTGATTCCACAGCTCCCCCGACAGTTCGGATCGTGCACTCAGGATTGGCCTGTAATATTGAGGAGGAGCGCTACTCTGAAAGGGTCTACACTATCCGGGAAGGAGAAACTCTAGAGTTGACCTGTCTGGTAACAGGACATCCACGTCCACAGGTGAGTCCTGAGCTGTGACGTTGATGAAGACACTGACTCCTCTTGGAATTTGAAAGTTCACATTTTACATAATTAAGCTAGAATTCATGTATTTGTGTGGCTGGGTGTACTGGGGGAGGTGCGGGTTATGTCTGTATTTTTATTTGCCACTCTAATGTAAATGATAGAATGAAAGATAGGTGTGATAATTTCTAAATATTGATCAAGAGTGCAAAAGCATAAGAAGAAACAAAAAAATTGGGGGTTTGTATTGTGACAAATTTAGAATGCACTCCCAAGAAAGGTGTGAAAAAGACAGCTACAAAAATGGCTCAGTAAGATAACAATTCATATGGCGATGAGTCTATTTTAGAATGTGGAAAACCTGACTTCATGATGACATCATTGTACCTGAGAAAGCTTTGTTTTGAAGAATGTGATGCAAGGCATCACATGTACTTTTCATAATCTTAGCCATTATATAAAAACATTCATAAATGTTTTAAGTAAACATTTACAGGTTTTAAAATTCATTTGGACTTTCATATTAATTAGCTGCACACTTCTTAAATGATTACCAAAGGGAGCATTTGAGAAATTTTAAAGGTACTAAAATTACAAATAACATGCAAAGAAACAGCATTTGGAACCAAAAGATATAATTCTACAAACATTATTATAATGTATGAAGAATATACATATGATGTGAAAATGAGATTTGTATATGTAATATTCAAGTGTTTTTACTCATTAACAATTCTTATTTTCATACATTTAATCTGACAACTTCAGAATTCACACAGATATTTAGACATGGTAGAGAAAATAAGTTGGTTTAATAGAAAAAGTTATATATCTTAAGTGCTTTGCTTTGATAACACAAGACACAGAAGAGAATGAAATAAAAAATGGAGGAGTTTATGAATTTCCTACTGCTTTACTGTCATTTACTTCTGCCACACTTAACTTAAGGAACCCTTGATTCTAACACATGAACATATAAAACTAAATCTGTTACAGGATGAGACATTGGATAGTTAGGCTCATTTGAAGACAGATGATTAGATTATACAGGATAGATGGATAGATAGGCTCATCGGTTCACAGGACCATAGTATGACTGAGGTGATAAATTGTATTTATTTAATTAATCTTGTTGGTTAAGCCTAGAAGTGTAAAAGTAACCAAAAACAATGCCTAAAGTTTTTTTTAAAGAAAATTATGAGTAATTATATTTCTTATTAACAGAATATGAATTAAAGAACAGAATGTAGCTTAATAAAATTAAATTCCATTAAATCTGACTAAAACTAATTGAATATGATCTAAAATGTGATTCCAAAAGAAAACAAGCAAAAATTGGTGCTAGATATAAAATGAGATGACACTAGTGTTTTTAGAATACATAGAAAAATTGAGTTCAGTGAGATAATTTCATCAAATACTTCAAAAACATATTTAGAGTTAACTCAAATATTAACTCAAGAAATTTTGATATTATTACAATGTATTTTTTAATTAAAAGATCTAATCATATAGCTAGAATTAACTTCATAATCAAAATAGGTTAAAGTAAAGGAAGAGGATGTTGAAAGACAGTTCCCAGAAAGAGACCACTGTACCCTCTCCCCAACACACACCAGGTTATCACACTGGATTGCCATGTTCGTAGATTCTGAACTGTAAGCCAGAAATGGAACTTCTTTCTATCCCTGCCATCCACTGATCGACTGGGTGCCCTCTCTAACAGCTCTCCTTCCCCTTTAGCCTTAGAATTGTCTGACATGGTCAAGAAGAAAGACTTTCATTTCAACGTTCATATTTCGCAGTGCCTTCCCAGCTCTAGCTAATTTTAAATGAGTTCTGGTAAAAAGGGTTAGGGAACATTTTTATTCATTAAAAGAAAAAATACTTCCATTTAGGGGGTCCATTTAAATATATTGTCATTGCTAAAACCAACAACAACGATGACAACAAAAGCCACTGTGTCATTGGCATCAATTTTTACTTAGTTCCTAGAAGTAACTCTTGTGTTGTTAGGCTTGTCCCTTGAGTTGATATTTCCTCTTTGCGATGCTTGACTGGGTGTCTGCTTTGCCTGCAGGCTGTATTGAGAAGGCTAACTGAACAGCTGGGGCTTGGCATTCTGGCCAATGTCTAAAGGACATGCTATTGGCAGCTGTTCCTGAAGATGATTTTCCCGGATGATAGCAAAGAGCTGCAGCAACTTACTTCTGTATCCATGCTGGCACTGGGGATGCTGGGAATGAAGATCAGAGGGTTCTTAGTCATTTGTCACCCCAGTTTTCAGTCTCCTACCTCTTATTATAGCTAATAGAATACTACAAATTGCCCATTTCCAAAAGCATTACAGACTTTTAAAACTATATTATTTGGAAATCATTGCAAGTCGTCCAAGAGTAATGTTATATACAAGAGAAATCACATAAAGAAGCGGGCAGTTTGCTCAAATGGATAGGAGATTTTTTAGTTGTTTGCTTAATTCATAAATTCTACTGTTGACAAATATGTTACGAATTTTCATTCTGGGTGTTAGTTTTGTTTGACGATTAGTTTTTAAAAGTTGATTCATTTTAATCCTACTTTAGATTCTATAGGTTTCTAATACAATTTGTTATTTTAGAGTTCAAGGGTCTTTTATAGACATTGTTTTTTCAGTATGCCCTTGGTGGAGGCCAACCATTTCTTTCGTCCCTATGAATTGAAAGGCAATAATTTCACCTTCCCATATAAATTATTATGATCTCACTTATTCCTCATTTGCTCAGTGAAGAAAAGTCATTTGAGAAAAGTCATATGGCAGACTTCTCAAATGATGCTCTAAGTCAGATACTTGAATATTCAATGCTTTCAGACTAAAAACAGTTCTCAGATTCATTTTTCCATATTTCCTTTTTTGTGTGTGTGTGCGTGATATGTTATAAAACATTTTTTTACTTATTCTTTTTTTCCTTATTTATTTATTTAAAGAATTTCCACTTCCTCCCCTCCTCCCAATACCCTCCCGCTCTTCCCACTCCCTCTCCTCCTCCCTCACCATTCCCAAGAGCAGTCAGGGTTTCCTGCCCTGTGGGAAATCCAAGTTCCTCCTTCCTCCCTCCAGGTCCAGGAAGGTGAGCATCCAAACAGGCCAGGATCCCAAAAAGCCAGTTCATGCAGACGAAACAAGACCCACTGCCATTGTCAATGACTTCTCAGTCAGCCCCCATGTCAGCCACATTCAGGGAATTCTGTTTGATCACATGATCGTTCAGTCCCAGTCCAGCTGGCCTTGCTGAGCTCTCATTCGATCAGTCCCCTTGTATCAGTGGGTGAGCGCACCCTTCGCAGTCCTGACTTCCTTTTTTTCTTTTCTTTTTTTCTTTCTTTCTTTTTTTTTTTTTTAGTAATTTTATTAAATTATAAAAGTTTCCATTTCCGGCCCTCCTCCCACCACCCTCCCACTCCCCCCACTCCCTCTCCTCCTCCCTCTCCATTCCTAAGAGCAGTCAGGGTTTCCTGCCCAGTGGGAAGTTCAAGTTCCTCCCCCAACCCCTCCAGGTCCAGGAAGGTGAGTGTCCAGACAGACTGGATCCGCAAAATCCAGTATATGCAGAAGAAACAAGTCCCAGTGCCATTGTCAATGGCTTTTCAGAAAGACTCCGGGCCAGCCACATTCAGAGAATTTGGTTGGATTTCCTTTTTCATGTTCTCCTTCCTTCTGCTCTTCATTTGGACCTTAGGGGCTCAGTCCAGTGCTCCAATGTGGGTCTCCGTCTCTATCTCCATCCATCGTCGGATGAAGGCTCCCTCTGTTTCTGCTTTCCTTGCTCACGATCTCCCTCCCTCTGCTTCTCATTTGGACCTAGGGAGTTAAGTCTAGTGTTCCAATATGTGTCTCTGTCTCTATCTCCATCCTTCCCCACATGGAAACAACCTAGGTGCCCCTCAATAGAAGAATGGTTAAAGAAGGTGTGGAACATATATATACACATTAGAGTTTTACTCAGCGGTAAAAAAACAATGACATCTTGAATTTTGCATGCAAATGGATGGAAATAGAAAACATTTTTCCATATTTCTTACAAAAATTCTAATGTATGTACATGAAAAGTAGATATAATAGATTTGGTAAAGACATACATATACATACACAGACACATATAGGCTATGGGAAGAGTTAGGTTCTGTTATCCTACCAGAAATTATCAGATATTACTTTTTTCATGGCTTAGAAAATGCTATATAACATACTTTTTTGCAAACCATATATATGTTTATACTGGATCTGTCTGTTTCTTCATGTGAGAGAATTGCCAATTCAAGTAATTTTTTAATAAATCATTTAAATTCATGATAATAGAATACTAAAAAGATGCTTAGAAACTTCCTCAAATACCAGATCTAGGCTATTTTCATATTCCCAAAATAAACATTCACCAAGTTCTATCCATTAGTGATGCATATTCTTATTAATTTCATATTTACATGTTTAAAAGTATTAGACATAACTTTTTGATGGTAGATAACATACCTTCAATACTTTAGTTTTTATTTATGTTTATGCAGTATGAAATATACTTCTAGTGAATCAATTTTATATATTTAAAATGCGCTAATAGTTTTTCTCTAAATATACTACCGACATTTAAAATTAAAACTCTTATAGTTACAAGGTCAGTTTTGTCTCATGAATAATTTGAATGTATTTAGTATCTTTCCAGAATTCATATTTGTTTATTTCTATGGACAATATTTGTGCTTAGAATAACTACATGTTATTCTAATAATACATGTTATTACACATGTATATGCATATATGTGATATATATGTATGTATGGGATAAACATATATATGCATACAAATGTGATATTCTAGAAACTTTCTTTAAAAACCTTAGCTAATGTGCTAAGTCAAAGCATTTTGTAGAACAATTTATGCTGATTATATTTTCTTCTAAAGAAGATTTACTTTTTCAGTTCACATATTTTACACCTAAACATCAGAAAGCCTCTGGATT